TAAAATCTCCGGTATTTGCCAGTTCTCCGAAGTACTCAAAATTTCCGGTACCGGTTCTCCAGAACTGGTCAGAACCTGCTGAATACCACCTCTGCCATCGATCCATGGTAGTAATAGGCACTAGAAAAATAATGTTCAGCATTTTTGTAAGAGACAATAGCATGAATTTGGACGCATCTGATACTGATGTACAATAAATAGCAATAAAAAATTTTGTGCACTGTCTCCCCAAAATAAGATTTTCAACCACTGATGTCTATTATGGACGTTATACACAAAGCCATGTCTTTCCTTGGACCTATTAACTTTTCTTTTTAAAAAGTATTAGTAATGAAACATTTAAGATATTTGCATACTATTTGCCACTATTGTGTGAAAAAAAGTGATTTATGACTAGAACTCACACATGACCGTTTTAGCATCCTCATAGTTACGTGTTCAAAATTTGGGTGCTTGACAACTGGCAAGTTTTTATGATGGGATCATGTGATCACCATGTGCAATCTTCCCAGCCAACAATCAAAGTCAATGGGGGAAGCCAGGTTTGCTTAATGACCATGTGATTCACTTAACACAGGAGCGTCAAACTCGCATCATCACAATGTCGTCACATGATGTATCATGGCTTTTTCCCCCTTTGCTAAACCAGATGTGGGCATGGCTAACGTGTGATGCATCTGGCCGGGGGGGGGAGGAGCGTGAGTTTGACAGACTTAACTTAACAGCTACAGTGATTTGCTTAACAATTGTGACCAAAAAAAAAAAAAAAGTAAAATTGGGCACAAAATTTAACAACTTACTTAGCAAAGGAAATTCTGGTCCCAATTTGGTTATAAGTTGAGGACTACCTGTAGCTTGAATTGTTTCTAAATCTGTTTTTTACAGATTGATTGTGAGTCTGTATAATAGCTCGCTGTTTCCCACTATTTCATGTAGGAACAGTGATATATTTGCCTCGAAATTAACCATTTCCATGGCAACTCTGCAATGTCTAGTGTGAAAATATTTTATTACTGCCAACATCTTAACTAGAGAATCAGATGAATGTACTGATTAAAAGCAGTGGTCTAGAAACTAGGAGATCATGGGTTCTAGTCTTGCTTTAGGCACAAAAGCCAGCTGGGTGACATAGGGCAAGTCACTTCTCATCAGCCCTAGCAAGATGACAAACTGTTTCTGAAAAAAATTGTTAAGAAAACTGCCTGGACTTGTACGGCCAGTTGCCAGGAGGGACAACTGCCTTTAAGGCACAAATAATAATGATAAAAATCTAAACAGGTTGCAAGCCTATTTAGATTTTAATGAGGTACTTTCAAATAATGAATGCATCTATTTGAGCTTTCACACTGATAAAATCATAAAATTGCCATGAACTTGTCTAGCTGTGTGACATTAGCCATCCATCATATACTCTCATAGGAATGATATATGCTACTTCAGTAACTCAATGCTTTTTAAAGAAATCTCTTAAAAACAAGAGGATTTGAACCGCTGAATGTAGTTGTATATGATTGCTTTCATTTTGTTTTCCTTGCTATTTAATTGTCTATGGAGATTCTCCATCATCCAGTTCATGGTTGTCCCAAAGGTGCTTTTTCCAAAAGACAATTGGACAAGAAAGTCCAGTTGCCTTTGGAATTTATTACTTTTTTATTTTTTATTATATGCTACTGAGACACTTAAAATCAGAACAAAAATCAGGTCTAAGCTTTCTTGAGCTGCAGCTTCCTTTCATCAGATAAAAGCCTTGGAAATTGGTTAATTTAACATGGAAATCAAGTTAAATAATTAATAATGCGATGTTTACCTTAGATTTTTCCCCCCTCTCTAAATAATTACCTGTTGGATGACAAGGCCCTCATTTTACATTTGCTGATAAGAACAGAAACTGCTGAAAAGTATGAATAAAAGTGCAACAGATACAGAAATTGCAATTATATAGCCTAGATGCCTCTGAAGGTTAGCTGGTAACTTGGAGAAGCTGTATACCTGGTAAATCAACCCTTTGTGAATGCCTAAAGTGGGTTTCTCTCTTTTTCTTCCCCATGTATTACCATGCAGGCTTGGGATTTTTGTCGGGTTTCTATTATTTCTGTGGGAGGGAGAGAAATGTGTGTGAATTTGTACTTGCGAACTTGGTGTGTGTGTGTGTGTGTGTGTGTGTGTGTGTAAAACCTCCAGCTTCCACAGCCCCTAAACAATGTCCATATTTCCACTGCTTAGAGAAAAACTAGCATGATGACTGTATTGAATACTCAAATCTTCATTTTCAGGCTAATGTTTTTCTTCTTCCAACCATTTGCTAGTGAAAGCTGCTTGAGTACTACTATCTCTTGAATCACTATCAGTAGATGTCACAACTATAGATGCAGAAATCAAAGAACTTAAGAACTCGAACTCATCAACCTACTGGTTCACCACTAAAGACAAGTTTAATTCATGTACCATTGATCAACATGGCCTTGATCCCTTTTTTACATTTATCCATAGTCCAATTTCCTCTATTTTGCTTTTAGTTCTGATTTCTTTATGAAAACAGTGTTATCAACCTATGTTGCAATTATGAACTTCTTCACATGACATTCCCCTACTTTTCTCCATTATCCAATGTACTAGCACACCGAACAATAAGGATTATGGTATGAACTATTTTCTCAGTTGTGCTTGGACTGTGAAGGGACTGATTTTGTCATCATGTACTTTAACCCTACCATCATAAAAGGCAACAATGAACTTGTATGATTTTGCTGGAAATGCTGATCACAAAGAACTTTCTATATTGACCTCTGATGAACGCTGTCAGAGGCACTCTTGAAATCAGTCAAGATAGCAATAGTTTGCCTTCATTAACCTTTAGCCTCTATTACTTGCCTTACAGTGAAAATCTGATCCACACCACTATGACCCAGTCTAAAGCCACATTGGTCTTCCTGGGTGGAGACTTCTGTCACTGACTCTAAATGTGCTTGATAACCTGCATGGGAACATTTCTAATTACTGTACAGAGGGGCTGATTCTACTATAGTTTTCATGCTGCCTAATTGCAATACAGATGAGCTGATTCTGCAACAGTCTTCATGCTGTCATGTGTCACCCTTTTTAAACATGGGTACAGTAGCAAATGTCAATTCTGCTTTCCATATCACTGAGAACAACATATGAATATAATCAAGTATTATAGCCACCTTCTCCCCCAGGATTCAGCAACTCCACAATGACTTGGTCTGTCCTGCAGCTTTGTTATTGCTCCAGAAACATCCATTTTGCTTGGCTTAGCTTTCACATACACTACAATTCTAGGTGGTAGTTCTGTATTATCTAGTTCCTGTTCTAACACTGCTAGTGGGTAACAACTTAAAAGAAAATCAAAACAGTGTATCCAATGTTATACCACTGGTGGTTGTTTTACCATCTCAACTTATCTTAATAGTGATGGTTGGCCTGGGGCAGCTGGGCTTTCCTGAAACTGCTTCCAAGATTGACTAGAGTATTCATTAATCACCACACCCTTCTGATGCCTCCACAGATGCTAAAAATCTCCTTTGCACTTTTCAGCTTTTTGTGAATTAGTTTTGTCAGCTCTTTCACCTTGGTTTGATTTGCAAGTTTAACTGCATTCTTCCTGTGTCAGGCCAATGATGTCATCCTATATTTTTAGCAGTTTTTTTTCCTCCGTGTGAGAGCAGATTGTTTTTATCACTGTGTTGATGATGTTCCAACTTCAGACGACTGATTCAAAGGTAAACCTTTACAAGAATCACCAGCGTTCTCTGAAATGCAGTCCAGAACTAAGAAAACTGCCCTCCTTGTTGGTATCAAATGTTTAAAAAAAGATTTTAAAGATTGTTTAATTCTCATTAATGTTTTTTGTACTAATTTTTTATTGTAAACCATCATGAGACACAAGTCTGAGGTACTTTGCCATCATCACCATCAATTTATCTTTTAGCAGATGGCCAGATTTCCTTTTTTCAAAATACCAGAAACTAAAATAACCATCTATACTTAAAAGTGTAGGAAAACACTAGGGTGCTTTATAGAACCCTAGCATTAAAAAATAGCTTTCTAGTTTCACCATTTCTTTGTTATATATTGTTTTATAGATAGGTCCTGCTTATTGACAGCCTCATTTAATGACTGCTCATAATATGACTGTTTTTTAAAAAACATTGCAACCAGTCACATTTACAACCATCACAGTGTCCTGTGGTCATAAGATTGCCATGTGGGGGAGGAGTTGGGATCAATTTTGGGACATGTAGAATTAATGGATAAGGTGGAAGTAAAACCAAAAGTTGTGCCCAGATAATGTTTTGCATAAGGACAGAATAGGAAGATTTTAAACCCATCAGTCAGCTTTCCACTTTGTGACTGCACTGCTTAGCAACCAAGTTGCCAGTCCCAATTGTGGCTGATAACTGAGACTACCAGTATTTAACAGAACAAAAAGAGGAAAAAAGCCTTTTCATTTCATTCCATCTCTATGCATTTCCATTCCATATGACCGTTCTTTTCTTAAAAAATACTACCGGTATTACCTATACTAGTTTGGACGAAATCTTTCCATTGAAATGCAATTAAGGCATTTCCTCTTAACTGCAACATTTCTGTGCCCTGGACAGATTTCTCTCAGCAAACAATTCATTACTGCACTTGAAAATTAATTAATTGTACTTCGCGATCCTACATTTGAGAGAACACAATAAAAATGTTGTTACTATATTTACCGTGGGATATTGCAAACTGAGATTAACCCGAGAGCATTTCATCTGAGCCTTCTGATTTATTTGCTTAAATACTGTACCGTTTCTCGGCTTTCTAAGGAAGCCGCCAAAGAAAAGACCCGAGACGTGCAAGGAAACGGGCGGGCCACCCTCGGCGATTCAGGGCGGTGCTGCAGGCGGAGGCGAGGCGGGGCCAGGAGGAGCTACCGACGTCCCTGGAGGACCGGAGGTGGGAAGAGTGGGCGAGAGGGAGTCGTTCTGTCCTTTCCACCAAGCTCTGTGGTTAAGATGGCGGCTGTGGGGGGTGAGGGGGCGAGTCCGTGACGGCCTGTCCGGAGAACGGCGGCGAGGCGTGGGGGACGAGGCAGCTCTGGGAAGCGCCGGGTGCGGCTTCTAAAGCGGGGTAGGGGGCGGAATGTGAGCAGGAGGAGGAGACGGAGGGCTCTGGCGGGGGCCCAGAACGGGAGGAGAGCGGGGATGGGCCAGCAGGTGGGCCGCGTCGGCGAGCCGGGTGCCGCTGCGCTTCAACATCAGCCGCCACCGCCGCCGCCGCCGCAACAGCAGCAGCAGCAGCAGCAGCTGCTGCCTCTTTCCCAGCCACAGTCTCAACCCAGAGGGCTTCGTGGGAGTAATAGCAGCGGGAGTAGGCCTGCCAGCCGGAGGCGAGAAACGGCCGCTCCGCGAGCTGCCGACAGCGGCTTCAATATCTTCACCCAGCACGGTAAGGTGGGAAGAGAGCTGGGGCGGGCAGGGGAGGAAGGAAGGAAAGGAGCGAGGGAAAACGAGGGAGTGGGTTGCGGCAGATGCTGGAGGCGGGTGGGTGTGGCACAAAAGCGGAGGCTGGAAATGGGGGGTGGTTGGGGGTGTCACGAAGCAGGGCCGGCGTGCCTTCCCCTCGCCTTAAAAAACGTGCCAACTTATTTTTCGACAGTAGACAAAAGGTTTGCTTCATCTGGTGACCGGCTAGAACCCGTTGGGAAGCGCCCAAGCAGGTAGCAGCCGCAGCAGCCTTCCCCTTGTTGTGCCGTCTCCAGTATCTGATACTAATAGGTGGCGATTCCATGTTTAAGAAGATAGGTGACAATAGAAACCGCTTTCAGTGAAGCATGTGGTGTCTGTTCAAATCGCTGTTTTTTCCCTCATTTTCACTGGTTAATATTTAAAAAACGTCTTCATCATGCATTTATTTCAGAGAGAGGGCTTTGGTGTTCCCCATGAATGAGTTGATGTTCAGTTTAAGTGTCAGGGGACATACAACATGGCTACCCCTCCAGGTTATGAAATATTGTGTAGCATTTCTCAGAAGTATAGTAAGCTTTGGCTTACTTTCCAGGTGCATATACTGATAATTGTTAGGAAGAATATTTATATGTTGGTAGCATATGGTTCTGTACAGGCTTATAAAACTTTGGGGTGATGTTTGTTAATGGTTGTACTCGTGGGATGTTTTTTGGATCTTTCTAACACTGTGCTTTGTTTGCAGTGTGAATCAGTGGTGGGATTCAAACATTGTTGCCACCGGTTCGGTGGGCATGGTTTGGTGGGCGTGCTTTGTGTGCGTGCACACACTTTGCATGCATGTGTGCACCAAACGCACACTTTGCACAGGCTCAGAGGCATTTGCACAGGCGCAGAGGCATTCTGCCTCGCCTCCTGGAAGCCTGCACGATCTCCCGGTTGTTTCAGCAGCTGCCGCGCGGCACTCTTGTGTGCCGCGCAAAGCAGCTGTGCTTCAAATTCAGCGGATAAAGGTGAGTAGGAGCCCGGGCGAGTGGGCGGGCCCAAGAGCAGAGCCATTAGAACAGCGGAGAGAACCGGTTTGGTCTCCGTTGCTCATCGCTCCTATGGCTCTCCAGAACCGGGGAGAACCGGTCGAATACCACCACTGGTCTGAATGTAGTTCATATGAGATACAATTCTTGCTTCATAAGTACAATATTTATTGCTTTCCCTGTTTGTTAATTTATGTTGTGACATAAATTTGAAGTGGTATTTTTGTTTGCCTATCATTAATATCTAACACAGTGCTTTCTGTCATATGGCCCCATTTAAAATGCTTCTAGTATATTAATAATGTTGGTAAGATGCATGCCACAAAGTGCAATAATAAAGTTTTCCTATCATATAGCCCAGAAAATGCCCCAATGTTTTTTTTTTTTTCTAGTTTCGTAATAGTCATTTTATCATGATTCCTTTTTGTATTCTTTGGATGAATTGCAATGATGTGTCTACTGTTCTCAGGTTAGCAACCTGTTTCATTATGATTTTTATTGATATTAATGAGAACAAGACAAAAAGCTAGCTGGGAGGCTGTGCAATTAGGAAGGTGGGAGATCTAATGCTTTTGGACCTTATTGTTATAGCAAAGTAAGGTTTCTTCTGTCACTCATTTTCTCTTTTGATGACGTGATAGACACAATATAATATTACTGTGCAATATTATGTTCTACGGTCATGTACAACTTTACTGTGATTGGAAATCTATGTGATTTTTATATAGAAAGCCCAAATAGGCTATTATCACTATCATATTATAAATGTATCTTGCACTGAGCTGGAACTGGCCAAATGGTATTTATTCAGCTAAATATCACAGGGTGATTTACAACCTTCTATGGCATTTGATAATTTGAAATAGTTTTGTGTACCTGTTTTGTATTTTGCTGTCTTTGTAGTAATTTGAGTTTCTATGAGTGATACCTACATTCAGCTGGAACACAAAAGGAAATAAAAGCTTATATATTTGCGGCAGGCAGATAGAGAAATTTTCAACTTTACAACAGTGGCTTTTAAGCTTCAGAAACCCCATTTTCCTGGACTCCTTGAGCTGTAGAACCTCAGTTGTACATCTTGTTCTAAAGAACTCATTATATGTGATGTGAAAGCCAATTACATAGGTCAGTCCCCTGAGGATACATAATGTGTCTAGATAAAATAATTAGTAGGTGGCATGTCCAATGGTGTTTAATCTTATTGGTGCATCAAGAGAAGAAAAATGGTTTTTTCTGTGCTCTTGTTCTTTTATGGTATCTGCGTTCCATATTGCTGGGTGTGATATGCTATCAATATAGCTCCTATGTCTTCTACTGAGTAATATAGAATAGATAAAGTACACCATTGAGAACCCCAGAAGGGCACTAAATGTAGATATATTTATTTGTATGTTCAATTTATACAACTGCTATCTCCCATTCATGACTCTGGGCAGCTTACAATTAAAACAATGGAAAAAAATTGAACAATTATACAAACTTTACAAAAAACATTTAAAATTTTTTTAAAGCCATATATACGTGGCTATATATATAAGTGACTGGGAGAAAATTTATGGAAATATTGTTAAAACCTTATAGTTGTATTATGCTCTCCATATATGGAGGAACCACTTGCAATAATGTGGACATGCTCATAATGCATTTTCTTGCATCACAACCCATAAAGTACTAACATAGTGACCCCTTTAATTCCCTCCTATGTTGTGGGTAGCAATGATCTTATTACTATTCCAATTAGATAGCAATTCAAATCATAAGCACTACTTTTTCATCATAAGTAAGGCAAAAAAAATATTTAATAAAACTCAGGCATAGTTTTTTTGGCAGGAGGCATTCAGAGGACAAGAAACAGTCTTCTCTCTCAGAGGAGATGTCATATTTACTTGAAGAGAGAAAATACTCTTCCAAATTGCTAACCAGAAACAACCCTTGGTAAATGAGAGAAGACACAAACATGTACTTAGATATCTTTCTCTGGTCATCATTGAATAAGTTGTAGGATTGGGAGTCAGGAAATGCATTTGAGCCTATGATCGGAAAGCAAAGAAAATGTCCTCGCTTGGTTTTTTTTTTTTTTTAAACAGTCATGACAAAAAGAAGTTCTCAGGATTTAAACTTCAGTTATGTTCTACAAAACATTTCCTTATAGCTGGGTAGCTAGCAATTTATAGATTTTGTCTTCCTGAAAGGTTTGTGTAGGACTCACTGGCAAGTGATATGGTGCATTTCATTTTTCAGCCATTTTACCTCTTTACTATTTTCTTAATAGCCAGCTTTGCCATGCTGAATTTCAGGAGTCACTTCACTCCTACCCTTAGCTCACAGTTCACTTTGGAAGCAATATCCATTCCATTGATGTACTGTGGAATCCATTGCCCATCAGCTTTCCAAACTGTTTTGTGAAATCCTAGGGTTCTGTGAGAAGTCGATGAAGTTCCATGAGAGACTAAGGGCAAAAAAAGAGTTCACTTTAGCACAGCCAATTTTCTCTCACTAGAGCTTTTGTCTCTAGATCAGGGGTTCTGGCAGATTGTTTTTAAAAACTAACAGATCCTCAGCTTGAGTAATTTCGAAAACCTCTTGTCTAAAATACTGAGCAGAGAAGAAAGTAATCACTGACCTGAAGCCTGTGAGGCTTCTAGCTTGCTGTTTATTCTCTCAATCTCATTCCACAGCTTGTTGAAATCAAGTTACAGATGTGGAAACAAATTCTTATCTACTACAGTAGAACAAGGAAACAGTACGCATGACAAACTCAATAGTGTCTACAAACAGAAAATGTTGTTTGCTAACTTGGAATTGCATTTTATTTTTTCCCATAAGTATATATTAAAAATACAAATAGTTATTTTTGTCTATGACACAAAATTGAATTTGGTACCAATTTTAGTATCTATATTGTACTTGTTTTTGAAGTCTTTTTCAAGATTATATAAATTTCTATCATATATAAATTTTAAGGTTATATAAATTCAGAATGTATAAATCGATGTTTTTCATCAAACAGCTTCATCAACACCAATGTTACTTTATTGTTTTGTGATATTTAATTTATCCATATAATATTATGGTACTGGTCCAGACTTTTGAACTTGGAATTAGAATAAACCCTTTCATACTATATTCTAATATGGAATTGGACCTCTAATTTGTTTGTCTCTCCCCCAACTATAATCTCACTGGTAAGATGAGATACTTAACTAGCTATTAAAAGTATGAAAGTAACAGAGGTAGGATTCTACCGGTTTGGCCCACTTCTGCTGTACCGGTAGCTCCAAAGATCAGCTGAGAGAGAACCGATTCGCTCCAGCGATCTTCTGTTTGTCCCACCTGGACTCAAGGCTGTCCTTCATTTCCTGCTTTTTCAAACCGGCTGCTTTGCATGGCAGGAGAAGATGAGAGGCTTGCAGGAGAAGATGATTTTCAAATGCTGCGCACGCGCACAAAGCATGCTCACCTAACCAGTTATTACACCAGTTGAATCCCACCCCTGAGAGTAACAATGTATGGCTCAATTTTAGTAATTAAATGTTTTGTAAATTAATTAAATTTATTTAGCCACCTACTTCATGAAAAGTGACTCTGGGCAGCATACATTAATCCAATAAAACAGTAAATATAAAACAGTCATTTACCTAAAACCATTATATATTAATTATTAGAAACTGATAATTACTAGAAACTAATAAACTAAAGCTCAAGAATGATCTCATCTTTGAGCGGGGAGAAGGGGAGAAGATTCTACAATATAGGTGCCATAGCAGAAAACAAGGAGGTACAGAGTGGAATAGGGTAAAAGAATAAGAAACGTGAACTTTTCAACTGACATTGTCTATCTCTCAGTCCGCTGTGCTGAAATAAATACTACTGCTCATTTATCTTCAAGAAAACCAATGAAAAACTATAAAACAGTTCTGTGTGTTTCCAATAGCAAGTATATTACATC